CAGTGCCATGCCCCTACCCCTTCTGTTGTCCCTCACTGACAAGGCACATCCCCCCCAACCCATTGCTGGTGCCTCTCACTCCTGACTCAATGCCCCCTGGCACTGCCAGTGCCCTGGACACCCAACCCACATTCACCCACCCCCTCCTCCATGCCTTTTACTCCTGATCAGCAGCCCCCTGCCCCCCTCCCAGCTCTGCTGGTGTCCCTCACTCTCTACATGCAGTCCCTGCCCCCCTGCCAGCCCTATTGGTGCCCCTCACTCCTGACCTGCAGACCCTTGCCCGCCCCAGCCCAAGCAGCTCCTGCATTGCATGCACACCCAATCTCACACACACACTCACTCTCTCTCCCTGGCTTGCTGGAGCCCATGTGGCGTATATGTGACCCCCAACATCCAATCACCTTGCCTGCTGCTCCCAGCCCCAAGCAGCCAGCCCAGGAGAGCAGAAAACCTGGAAATTTGCTCTTATTTTAAAAACCTGCCCGGACTCAGCACAGAGGTCCAAAAAAGAGGACATGTCTGAGAAAACCCAGATGTATGGTAACCCTAGCATAAAATTGACTATGTCTGCACTATGGAAACTGCTTTGGCTGCACCTTGTTGACACAGCTGAGATAACTTTAAAATACCACCTTGTTTATTGCTAATAATTTAGTTGTTACAGAGCAACACAGAGGTTAGCTTGGGCTAATTGCTTGAATATTTACCCAGCTGCGTGAGTGGTTTAGTAGCCTGTGTTAAGCTCCAAGCTACTGCAGGCACACTACTAACCGTACCCAAACTAGCTTGCTTAAAGATAGCTTAGATGTGTGTACACAAAAATACAGTCACACTTTTGACTGCAGTGTACTTATACCTTTAAGTATAGCAGAAGACTTGCACCTTTTACTCTGTTATCAGTTATGTGTATGTGCATAGTTATTGTTGGGGCTGCCAGCTACAATATGTATTGTCATGTAATTGAACTGAGGAACTCCCTTCAAATTACCCTTTCACAAAGACTAGCATGGTTCGTGCCAACCATTTAGTAACCCTGTTTTGTGTATGCACAGTAAACTTCTCCTGGGTTTGTTTTCCTGGTAGAAAAACTTGCCTGGAGACACCTGAATAGACATTTGAATGCTAAGCCCTTGAGGAGCAGAAGGCTCACAGTGCTGATGCTACACAGCTAGGGAGTCACTGTACACACATCTCAGCATGCTCTGCAGACTCCCTCAGTCTTCTCAGAGACAGAATGGTAACAGTGCACAGGGCAGCTGATTGGTGACCCAGACTGCTCAGCCTATGTCTCCCTGCAGCACAATATAGGAATTATGAAGGGGGGCTTGTTCTGCTCCCTGTTTGGCTGGAACACTAGAGTTCTGCCCAAGCTACACACTTTTTCTTGGAGGAGGGGAGGGAATCTGGGAGCAAAGCACTCTGGGATGCTAGAGAACTGTGCTGCAGCTCATTTCAGAAAGGAAAGTCTACAGATATTTGCTTTTCCAAAAGAAGCTCTCCTGGGAGCAATTTAACTTTGTTTGTTTCCAGGTTATTTTTCTGCCAGAGTGGTCATTTTTGTTCTGGGAGAAAAATCCTGAACATCTGTACAATTTTGGATTCTCCTGGGAAATCTACAGTTCTCCCAGGAGAAACTGAATGTCTTTACATGGCCTGTTAAGTATATTAAAGGGGCTGAAGCCAAGCTTTCAGTAATCAATATAAAGTGCTCAGTTTATAAAAATTATATATAACAATAAATTTACTGACAAAATATAGCTCAAGAAAATAAATTTATAACATGGGGCTTAATCATTTCAATTGAATTACATGTCATTTTGAGAAATCTGTAGGCTTTCAACTACATAGAAGGAAAGAATAAAGTCATGAGGCACTAAATGTGTCAGGCCATAACCCAGAATAGTCCTGGATTTTTGTTATTGGTTTTTAATATAGTAAGCCAGATTCTGATCTAGCTTGCACTGATATAAATCCAGAACACTTTATATGATTTCAGTGTAAGCTGGCAGAGAGTCAGGCCCAAAGAGTTGCTTTTGATTTTTCAAATGGTGTTCCATAAAGGTAATCTATTTTTTATGCTTGAGGTAGTCTCCCTTGAATCAATGGGTCAAATATTTCATTGACACATTTACACCTGTACAATGTGTTTAGTTCAGCAAGGAAACATTTTGTATTCAATTTACATGGGTGTTGCTGATTATATAAGTGGGACCAGCTTTCCAGTGTCAGGACACAGGTAGTTGTATATGTCTTCACTGGTAGAAAAATAGGTGCCTAGAAAGTTAGGTGGCAGCTGAGTGGGAGTTAGAAGCCTAATTACTTTTGTGTATTTACCTGTGACTGTCAACTTCCCAATACAAAGTTTATCTACATTAGAGAAAAGGTCAGGATTAGCTAACCATAGCATCTTTCCTAGATGCAAATGATGCCTTTTAATACGGGTGCACCAAGTGAGATTTTTTGGGGCCGATACCAACGGCCGATTTTTTTAATGAGCCATATCAGCCAAAAACGATCCAGTTTCCAGTATGTGGCCCAGCAGGTTGGAGAGCAGTGTCTGGCTGGTAAGTCTGTTGTAGGGGAAGGGACGTGTGTGTGTGTGTGTGTTGGGGGGACAGATTGAGGCCCTCACAGTGAGGGAGGGAGCAGCGCTAAGGCAGGGGCAGGTACTGCCCAGCCGGAGCAGGGCATAGGATGGAGCTGTGACTCATTTGGGGGGTGAATGGAGGGGGGCAGCTTCTGTTGGTACACACACCTCAGGAGGGTATGGGGGGCATGTGCCTTCAGATTTGCATGCAGGGCAGGGGTGGGATGGGGATGGGGTTGGCACCAGGCTCTACCCAGCTGGGGGCTGGGCCAGGGCTGTGCGCAGGGTGAGCAGCAGCAGCACTGGGAGGGGGGCTACTGCAAATTTTGGGGTGGTTCTATGCTCCCCTCTCCCATAGCTCCCTTTCTAGTGCCTCCTGCCCCAAGTGCAGCCTGGTCCAGTCCCCTCCGCCGGGAAGAGTTCAGTGCAGCCCCAGCCTACAGTGGCAGCCTGCCTTTGCCCCGCACACAGGTCTGGGGGGGCACACGCCCCGCCCATGCCCTCCCGGGGTGGTGCAATGGCAGGAGCCAACCCCCCTCCCTGCGTTCCCTAGACAAGCTGTGGCTCCATCCTTTGCCCTGCGCCACCTCGGCTGTGCAGTGCCTGCCCCAGTGCCAGCTCCACTCCCTCCCTCACTTTAGGGGCCTTGATCTGCACCCCCATGCCATTTCCCTCTCCCTGCCCCTTCACCCACAACAGATTTATCAGTTGGACTCTGCACTCCTGGTCACCTGCATGCTGTGCTGCAGCTGCGCACATGCATGGGACATTTATCAGCAACATTATTGGTGACATCAGCCAAAAAAAGCCAATAATGTCATTGCTGATAACATCATTTTTCCTTCTATTGGTGCTGATTACAATATGGGACTGATGTATTAGTACACTTCTACCTTTTAAACTTTGTTAATATGGGCAAAATCACTTTGGCCAAAAAATATCTTAAGGTTGACCTTGACCAGATGAAAGGTGCTAATGCAACGTGGATCTATACAGGGGGGTAGAGAGTTGCAGTTAGGCTGAGCTAACCATTTTACAATAGCTTGTATATTATATTTGGAATAGTCTATAAGGGTGCCTATACATGTGCAGTGAGGCTGCTCTGAGGTGCTGTGATTACAGTGCATCAAGAGCAGACTTGATTAATCAAGTCTGCTGGAGTGTTGTAGTTACCATGCTCCAGCAGATTCCAGCATCTCATGTATTAACATACCCACACTGAAAAACGTTGGTGGGGGCCCTTTAAGTTTGAGCTTTAGTTTAAAGCATCCTGCCACCATTTTTCAGTGTGGGGATGTGGATTTATGAGCCATTCTAATTAAATTGCCCCCCCACTCCCTTCAATCATGTGTATAATTGCCCTGTGATTAAGTGTTCAATAGTCTAATTTCAGGAATTTCTTTACTAGAGGGAACCAGCAAGTGTAGGCTAAAAATTGTTCATAAGATCTCATTTTTTAAAAATGTTCTAGCTTGTAATTTTCTCAGAGATTCTTCTGTATTCAAAGATCAAGCACTAGAGTTTTAGGAGGAGACACTATACACTTTTTGCTTAATAGACAGTTTAATCCTTGATTTAGGTGAAAATTTCAGTATATCCTGCTTAAGTATGGACTCCTATGGCACCTCCATAAATCCACAAAAAACCTAATATGGTTCTTTGGCTAATGCTTCTGATTTGTACTGGGCTGCTGGCATTTTTACATCTTACTGATCTCTATGCTGTTAATATGTGTACCTCATTTTTGGGGGGAGGGAGAGGAGAATATAGAGCTAGCTTGTTTCCCTTGGTTGGGAAAGGGAGGTTTTCTGATTAAGATGACTGTTTTGGTGTTCCGAGTACTGGGAGACTTTCCAGTTACTTATAATTGGAAGCACCAAATGCTTAATTGATGTAAAAAACCTGTACTTTAAGCATTTTGCAGTTTTGCTTTTGATCTTTCATGTGCATGGATATTGCACATATAGTTTAATAAAAATAACTGAAAGGCTTATGATGAGGATGTGTGCTAGCATGTGGACAGAGTTTAGGTGAGCATGGAGTTTATTGCAGAATCAAAGAAAGCATGGGAGGCTCCCCTTTTGTTTATGGATAAGTTGGGCCTGTAATTAACAACTGGACTTTGCTTGGGTTCTTTTCAAAATAATTAAAGTCACTATATTTTTCTGTATGGCCAAAAGTGCTAGAAGTGAACATTTTTACCAGTGTTGAATTTGAATATGAAATCAGCCCTTAACACAATGCCATGTGCTAGATCAGCATCCTCAAAACGGTGTCAAACTGGCAAGAGAATATGAGGCCCAGTCCATCTCCAAATAGAGTCAGTGTATGCGGGAGGGGGTGAGACTACCAGCTTTACTAATTAATTGTCAATTAAAATTGTTTTTTCCCTCTTTCCTCACAGTAATTTATCCAGAAACAAGCTTTCAAGTTTATCTAAGAAGCCTTTTCGCCATCTGAGTTTGTCTGATTTGTAAGTACTGGTCCTTTTAAGTGAAATGTATTTGTGGGTTAGAATGGAGGAACAGTCTGAGGGCAATGGAGGCTCAGTTTATTGAAGTCTGTAAGGGTCTGTCCAAACACAGGGATGAAGTCCTGACCTCCTGAAGTTAGTAGGAGTTTTGCCACTGATTTTAAAGAGGCCAGATTTTCATCTGAGGTTTTTTAGAAGATATGAGATTCTTTTTGTATAACTGCATTATTTTAACAAGGGTATTTATTTAATACAATACTTGGTGAACATGCGATCATATTGTTCTCTCGTCTCAGCACTCCAAATTAATATGTGATTTAAACATGCCTTTTCCTGTCAGCTTGTTTTGTCATGAGATTATTTCACATGGAGCTGTAGACTTTGCTATTTAAGAGGGGTTGGCAATCTACAGCCTGTGGGCAGGGTCCAGCCCATGGAGAGCTTGTATCTAGCTTGTGAAGGTCTGATTCAGCAAACTGGGGAGAGGTACCTATTTAAAGTGGATGTGTTAAATTGGTGATTTAAAGGGGCCATGTTAAAGTGGCGACTTAAAACCTCCTGCTCTGTGCCCTTGCTTCCAAATTTGCTGTTCCCTTTTGATGTTCACCATAGTTTTGGTAGCACCCAATAAGTGGAGAGGGGCATAGAACAGGTAGGGGATTGGAGAAGCAGAGGACTGTGGGAAGAAGTGGTGATTGGCATCCTATAGTGGTAGCCAGGTTGCAGGCACCTGGCCTGCCACTCCAAAAGGTTGCTGAACCCTGTGAATGTAGAATTCTGAAATACCCTGTGTCAGTGAACCATCAGCCACTTAAAGATACTCATTTGAAGTCTGCTTATCATTTCCTTACATGTCTTGGCTTCACAGTTGTGCTTGTTGTTAGGGTTGTGTGAAGCTTTGGTCCCTGGTTCAATTCAGCGGCGATTCGGACCAATTCAGTGGCTGAATTTTGGAATCCAAATCAAATCAGAGGACCCTTTAATCTCTCCGAATCGAATTGGAACCCTCCAAATCGATTCAGAGAGATTTGGAAAGATTCAGAGATTCAGACATAGAGACAGCTTTAAATGTTTTTTCTACATAACTCAAGGTAGCAGGGGCTTGTAAGTGCTGTGATGCTTGGGTGCACGGAGTGTCCCACAGAAGCAAGGGGGCTCCCCAGCGTGCTCAGCAGCAGACCTGGAAGTGGACCAGAAGCACTTCCAGTCCACTTCTGGGTCCAGCAGGGAGCATGCTGGGGGCACCACCATGCCCCCCCCGGCACAGCAACTGGTGCCTCCTGGGTCGGGGGGGGGGTACCTGGGGACCCCCTGCAGCTGATCCCCAAGCCGGGGAGGCACAGGTGGGGCCCCCAGTGTGCTCCCTGACACACCTGAAAGTGGATCGGAAGTACTTCTGGTCCACTTTCTAGTTTGCCACCAAGCATGTGGAGGCCCCCCCGCAACTCCTGTGGAGCTTTCCATGCACCCCAGCATCACAGTGTTCACAAGCTGTGCTGGTACCTTGAGGTATGTAGAAAAAACTTTTAAAGCTGTACCTATGTCCGAGTTGCTGATTCTCTGAATCAGCATCAAATCTTCATTTTTGGATTCGGCCAAATCGAATCAGGGACAGTGATCCAAATCAACAAATCACTGTCCCTGATTTGGGCCGAATCTGAATCTGAATTGAATAGGGCTCACTTTACACACCCCTACTTGTTGGCTGCTGAAAAATATATTCCCCTAAATATAAAATTGTTTTGAGCCATTTCCCCTTGCCCAATTGGCTGCTTTATTTTCTGCTGTCTACCCAGTCTGCCACTCTGTTTTCTGTGCCACAGGTTGGCCGCCCCTAGTTTGGTTAACCTAAGCAGAGAAGACTAAATATTTAGCCAAAAATGAGAAAGTGAGTCAGTAGAACACATAATAGCAAACCTGGGAGATATGGTTACTGTATAACGCTCTAAACAACTAGATTCTCACATTGGCTTCTCTCATAACTTTTTAGGGTCTGTATTACTGTATTTTTTTTGTTGAAAGGTATAATAGAAGGAAGGAGACTTAACTAAGGCTTTGAACTTCATACTTCAGGACTTGTATTTTAGAGCTCTGCAGGATTTGGACTCTGGAGAAATAAATGGACAAGGCAGAAGTACAAGCCAGGAAGTATGTGTTGAAATCCTGAACGTGTTTTAGTACACATTCCCATTTCAACACACAAACCCCTATGCACTACAATTATGCCTCTCCGACATGTTTTGTTGATAATTAAGGTGGCATAGTCATTTTCTTTACAGCTCAGGGAATATCACTCACTGAAATTTCCCTTCATAAATTGACAATTGCTGGGTATTCAGATGAAAAGATAAGTTGGCTGCAAAACATGCCCATTTTGTTGGATAGCTGTGCACTTTTTTTTTTATAACTCAGTCTCCCCTAACACAGTCTCTTCTCCCACCTGCAGTAAGTTTGCCCATGACTAGCTGGAATCACTCCATTGTATTCAAACAGAAGGCAGTGAAGAATGGCTCCTCACAGTCCAACTCATTCAGAGAGGCATAAGCTTTTCTAGGCAATGGTTAGCTGATGAAGTAAGTGGTTACCTACATAATCTCATGTCTTTCTGAACCCGTTAGTCTGAAAGGTGCCACCCTGCTCTGCCTTCTGCTTGACTTCAGACTAACATGGTGAGCTACCTTTCTCTACCTGTTACATACAAGGAGTAACTAAAATTTGCTCATCAGCTATATTGACAGTCTCTGCACTCTCTGTAACAGGTGGCCAGTTTCTTATTGGAGTGACAGTCTTGAAAGGATTTGAGGGAGCAGAAGGTAATACAACCTTACACATCTGTTCAGTAAGACCATAGGAAAAACTGATACCTTTGTCTCTGTCTTTGAAGTTGTTGAGATCCTGTGCAGAGAAGGAGGGCAGCTTAGGGTGGGAACTACGGGAATCAAAGATTGTGAATGAGTGATAGGAAGTGTGGCAATTAAGTTTATCAGGAATAGGGAGACAGTGCTTATTGGCAAAATATCTAGCTGACATGAGGTAGGAGAGAACACATTTGTATTATAATCATGGGAATTGTGCCATGAGCATTCAGCAGCATGGTACCAGGTGCACTGGTAAGGTAGAGCTGAGTAAAATAGGAACTGTGAAGATAAATTGATATATGTTTGGCATAGTACAGTGATGATGGCCAAGTAAATAGGTAGATAACAGGCTTTGGGGAGGTTAGAAACAGTTGAAGAATTGGGGGAATAGAGGTGGGAGATACTAAAGGGCACAGAATGGGTGGTAGCAGGTAAGTGGGAAGTAAAGAAGGGATAGAGGTTGGGGAATGAATATTAATCATGGTGCTGTTGATAACTGTATTTATGCAGGTGCATGCTCCAGGTCTCGTTAGCTTCTAGCAATGCAACTATTTACTTTGTTGTTTTTTTGCTCCACTTTTGATTTCCTTCTCTGTTTTTATCCCTCTTTATTCTAAAAAGGCATGTTAGGAATTGTAGATACCAGAGAGAACCCTGGAGGTCAGAGATATAAGACCCCATATGGCCCCTTCTTGTTGCCATGATCTTAAACTAACAAAGGTTGTGGTGGATTAAGAAACAGGAAAAAAAAAAAGGTTTTGAGTGTGTGTGTGTGTGTGTGTGTGTGTGTGTGTGTGGAAAGGAGTTGCATTCTATCCTGATGCTGACAGGTTAGAGGGCCATTCCTGAGCACTAGGGGTGCACCAGTAGAAATTTTTGGGGCCGATACCAATGCCCGATATTTAAGGAAGCATATTAGAAGATACCGATCCGATTTCCGATACAGCTGCCGCTAGCTGGTAAGTGGTGGATGGGGAGGGGGGAGCGAAGAGGTATGGGGGGGGCAGATCAATGCTCCCCATGCTGAGGGAGTGG